ATAACAGCTCTCTTTCCACACTTGTGTTTCATTGGTTTACATATTACTTAACTAAAATTACATAATTACAATGACATTCAACCAGTATAAACAGGTTTGGAAACCATCATACGGGCTCTTGGAAAACATGCATCTAACTGAGAGAGCAAAAGCGCAGAGGTGTTCTAGAGAGCGGTCCGCCAGCCCCTGGGGAGCACAGCCCGGGCTGCAGCCAGCACCGCTCGGAGAGGACCTGTGGGAGTCTTCTAAGGCGGCAAGTTGGGAAAAGAACAGCCATTGTACCGGCGACGCGGAACATCTTTTTACATGTTTAGTGCCCAGTATCCTCCACTGTGAACCATCTGTTCATTTCAACTACCTATTTTTCTAATGGCTTATCTTTTTCTTAATTATTTACAAGTGTTCTTTACAAATCCCAGAGACTAAGCCTTTCATGTCATAAATATTTTTCTCTCAGGCTGTTGCCTTTTAACTATTCTTTTGCAGTTATTCTGTTATACAGAAGTCCTTAATCTTGATCTACTGCAATAAACTATTTTCCTGTCTTCAGAGCTTTTGCTATGTCATAAGAAAGCCTCCCTTTGCTAAGACTCTAAACCTATTCTCCTATGTTTTCTCCTAATACTTCAATAATTTTATTATTCCCAGATTCTAGAGAAGGAACTTGAAGTTCAGAAGATTCATGTATTTGACCAAAATGATAAAGCTAGAAATAAGCTAGGATCCACATCAATGTGTATTTATCTGTCATCTCCAAAGCCAACGCTGCTACTTTATACCACCTTTCTGAAGAAGGAGTTAGTCTGAGAAGCAAAGTGAAACATATGGATGTCCAACAGTGATGAAAATTGGATGAATGCACATCTTTGTACTCAGAGCACATAAATGGTTGACATATAAATAAGTCACCACCAGCCACAGAAAACCAGTGTGATCTCCTCTATCCGTAGAAACTGTGGTCCAAGGGCCCAAGTGACTAGAGATCGAAATATAATTGAGCAACTACTAGGTACAAACCAACCTAGAGGTCCAGCTACTCGTACTTATACATTCATTCATCTATTCAAGCAAACAAAAATACACTGAACTCCGAGCACGTCCCAGGCAATGCTTCTGTGCTCCACACACTCACGGATGTGGACTTTGCTAGGCTCCTGTGCATGGATGTTCTGTAGATTCCTAAAGCTCTGCTTGCTCAAAACCAGCCTCTGCATTTGCAGTGTACCTTGAGTTGTGGTCATTCAGGTTGCATGCCCTCTATCTGCTACCAGGAAGTGAGCTCCCTAAGGTGAGACTGGTCTGGTGCGCCTCTGTGTCCTCCAAAGCACAGAGCCTAAGGCCCTGGTGAGGCAGGTGTTCTGTCAAGGCGCTTGCTACACTGTCCCGGGAGCGATGGCTTCCCTTTCTCTCTTGTGGACCACACCTGATCTCGTAGGGGTGGGCAAGAACGAGTAATGAATAATGAGTGAATGAACACCTTATATTTTCGTCAAACACAATCTCCCTAGTGGTTTTACCATTTCACTGAGGTCACTATTTATTTTCACCACCACTGGTCATGTTTCCAGGGGGTCACAGTCCTGTGATTACCGTGTCATCTCCTGGTTCCTCTGTCTTCCGTGAATATGTACAACAAGCTGTCAAATCTTGTTGCCTCTGCTGCAGCCATGCCTGAACCCTTTCCCTGCTCCCCCTCCGCCACCTTGGTTTGGGTTCATGGTCTCTTGCAAAAACTATTATAAATGAGCTCCCCCCCGCCCCCCCACCAACCCATGTTACACCTGCTGATGCCGCATAAACTTTCCTGAATCATAATCTCATTCTGCCAGTCCCTTGATTAAAGCCTTCAAAGGTTCCCATCAATCCGCTGAACCGATTTCAGACCCCTCAGCTGGACATTAAGGCTCTGTGTATGTATGACCCCACCTATGTTTTGATTCTCATTTCCCACTGCTATACTCCTGATCCCTTCTCCTCCTCCCTCCCACTCCCCAGTCAAATAGGCCCATGTGCTTTTTACTGACTATATCTAGCTTTTCCTACCCCTGTTACTTCCACCTTGGGTGGTACCCCTCAGTCTGTCCTTTGAGGCCCATTGTAAACACAAACTCTTTCATGAAGTAGGTCCTGATGGTGCAACTGACAAGATATCTGCTGCCTTTGGTATCAGCAGCTCTCTGTGTTGCCTTCTTGGAATCAAGCTTGTTTTACGCTTCTAATCCTGTTTTACTTACAGTCACTTGGTACTTACCTTGTTTACTGCAACACAAGCGCCTTGAGGTGTTTCAGTGGTTTCGTTATTTTTGTATTTTTCTGCAGAACTGGTACAGAGCCTTGTACACAGAGGCACTCAGTAAGATACTGGTTGACCTGAACAGTTCCCTCGACTTTACTGTAAACTCCTTGAGGACAGTGACTTTAAGTACCCTGTGTCTCTCAATACAAGTAAGAGCCTTGTGCATAACAAGTGCTCAAAACATACTTAAGTAATTTCATAGTTCCAGAGCAAGAGTTTTCAAAACACACGTTAACACTGGCATTGACCTGAAGTATTCACTTAAACATCTCTCACCAATTAACGTTGGTGAAATGAAAGAAACACTGACTCTAACATTCTCCCTTCTTTTCATCTTACATGATAATAATGCCTAACTAGGTGCTGGTCAGGCACCAGGCACTGCTCTCAGAGTTCTGCAACAACCATCTCATGCGACCCTCACGACAGCACGAGGAAGCACTGTTTTCTCCCCCAGTGGGTGGGCAGGAGGTTTAGAGAAGTGAAGTTCGTTCCCATAAGGAGTAAGTGGCAGAGCGGAGATTTGAACCCAGGCAATTTCAGCCTCTCGAGCCCACGTGGTCACCATCATGCCCTGTGCCTTGATTATGTCTACAAACACCTTAATTTCAACAGTTTGAGTAAATAAAAAACTTTTAAAAAATACTTCAACCTACATCTTAAAATCATTCTTTGAAACATAAAAACCTCTTGACTCAGGTTATTTTAAAATAAATTGTTGAGTCTATTTCATCCACCTTCTAACGTAAGCTTCAAATTTAGGAGGCCATTTGTTTCCTCCAACAACATGCATGGTCAATCCTTGACTGTGCATCCCCTCAAAACAGCGGTGACAAAGACAGCATGTTTCCAGACGACTGAAAACTCATGTACCTTGGGGAAAGCAGTCTAGGAGTCTCAGAACCAAAAACAACCATTTAGTCCCCACTTCCCATGTAAGTCCTCATACCCTTGGAAACTCCTCTTGGTGGCCTGGACTCTGATTAGAATAAAGGGGTGTGGGGTTGACACAGAGAATCCGCAGGTAAAAAAGGCCAGAAAGCCCCCCTTTTTGAAGCTCCATTCAGTCTGCATGGGAGAGCACGTGCACCACTCCCGGCCACAGGGCTGAAAAATACGCCAGCACCGAGAAGTTGACAGATTATGAAACTGGGAGAGAAGGAAACAAGTCACACTGGCCCTCAATATGGGCACCACTGAGAGAAAACTCACAAGCTGTACGATAAAAGCTGTCGATTTCCTTGGGATTTCAGAGACACAAGCATGTGAGGTTGAGAGGGGCAGGGGCAGGGACATCCAAGAAAGGGCCATCGGCCGACTGGTTGTCAGTGTCCCTCCAGCCTCCAGTGGAAATGTTATTATTAAGGTGAGCTTTGTAACTCAAACTGAAATTATATCAAGTGAGGACAAACTCTGATTTTCAGTAAAATAAGGTAGAAAAATGACTACTGACATTTCAACTACTCAGGCCTTCTATTTATCTATTCAAAGTAAAAAAAAATTCATGTAAAAAGTCTGATGATATTAACACCAGTATTCAGTCATAGCTGCCTTGTTCTGGATTTAAGCATTGATGTTAACACATACCATAGGCAGGATGAGGTTCTGTGACTTAAGGGGTACCTTAAAATCCAAATCCCATGTATGAGGCAAGATTTTACGACAGAGTACTTTTGCTCCTTCAAAATGGTCTAAAATATTCTGTTGCTGGCATTTCAGTAGTTGGAGCTGCAGATCTTATGTTCAGAAGAGAACAGAGGAAAAAGAGAAAGCCCATGATACTCACTAGCTGAACATGGAAAACGACAGTCTTCCATCTTCCTGAGCCCTGGCTAGCATTCTGCCAACTCCCTCTGCTGCAGCAGAAATCGTAAAAGCAAAAACAAAGCACACGATGGGAAGAGGAGTTTAAGGCAAACGAAAATATTTCATGAGGTTGCAAGCTTCTTAAAAATATATTCCCTCCAACACGAAAAAACAGCCCATCATGAATCCCAAAATAAAACAGAAAAGCCATTTTGCTACAATATAACTGAAGGAATGCATATTCTTAACAATCTTGTAATCTCTTGAGAAGTCAGCAAAAAGGCTAATTTACTAAGTGCTTTTTCAGAGATGGACTATTAAAGTGGAAATGTGCACTGATTCATATTAGAGAAGGAGGTCCCTAACTGTCTGTTTCAGATCATTGCAATCCTCACATGAACTCAAAACCCACAATACTTCAACACTGGGTGTGAAGTACTATTCTGATGGAGAGCCACCTTTAAAGTACCTTATTTTCCTTTGAAAGGCAACTTCCTTAACAACACTGCATGTTCAGAATAATGAAACTGAGCCATTCGTTCAGATCTGGGTAAGAGTTAACAGAGGCAGAGAAAAAGGTAAAATAATAATGGTCCTTCCCCCATAAACCTCAGTCCTACTCCATGCTTTTTTCCTTTCAGTTCAACCACTTTGAAACACTAATAATCTTTCTCTATTTCCCCTGAAGCATTCATTCTCCATCAAGATCAAAGAAGGGCTGAATCAGAAACAAACAGGATACAGGAGTAACCGTGTGGCTTCCAGGCAAGCTATAAACAGCGACAGCACGTTCAGGGCTCAGGTGCCGGTGTGTAAGTTACAGCTTAAACACGCAGTGCAGACTTTATTCCGACGCTGTCACCAAAATTCATTGTTATACGAGAAATTCAGTTCTTACCAAGTTTTCTTGGTTCCTGGCTGCTATTTTCTGCTCCTCTTCTGCCCCATTTTTCATGTATTTGACCTCTTCCACGGGTTTGATCCTATACTCGTCTGAGTACCAAAAAAAGAAAAGACATTTTATAACTTTTTTTCACAACGGTGGAGAAGTGTCAGTGAGAAAACCCCAACAGCATAATTTGTTAAGAGCCTTTTTCCCTGTGGCCTTTCCACGTGGTTCACCTGAGACAATCTGGAGGAAGCTTAACCAGCCTGTTTTTACGAGGCGCTCTCCTCTGTCCACTGGGAATAGCTCAGGATCACGGAGGCTGCTAATGAAAGCGAGCCTGCCCGCTCGCAGCGAGCAGACGGTGGCAGAGCAAACCGGATATTCCGTCTCTAAAGGTGGTCTGAAATCTATACACAGTAGGGCATAGCACATAATGGTCTAAGCAAATTTTCTGCCTGTGGCGCAATGACATGTAGGACATCCACACCTTAATCTCTCTCTTTTGGGAAAGCAAAGTACTGTTTAAGACAGAAGCACTTAACTGATCAACAGACAGACATAAACAATTGGAAACTGAAATTTTCCTACTGGTCATCCCCATATTAAATGTGGAAGAATATGCAGTTATTTTCACATGATGCACGCAGGCTTTAATTTAACCTCTCTGTGAAGTCACACATGCAGAGCCACAATAGCTCACAGACCTAACTGGTAGGTCTGTCAGTCAAGGCTGGGGAGCACAGTGGGCTGCGGCTGGGACCTGGACTTGGCGACAGCCAGGGAGAGCACAGCAAATTCCAGTGTCAAAATACGTCACAGGACAAACGCGGGAATTAAATTTCCCCAGCATAGTGGTTTGGTGGTGACATTTTCACCAGATTCCTGTCAACAGGAGATGACTTGGGCACACTAAGGTCAGGGGTAGCTGTGACTCTGAGTCATCCTCAGTCCAGTGTGTCAGAAAAAAATCACAGAAATTATGGAATTAGCAAGTGTTATCAACCAACAAGCTGTTAACTGCCTAGCATATGGCGTGGAGTGATGCCTGTAACAGGCTACCTAACAGACAGAAGCCCAGCATGAAGAAGCTGCGATGTATTCTCTTACTGTCTGTGGTTAAATTGGTGTCATGGCTGTACGCATATATGATCCCCTCCCTTATTATTTATAATACCATTTTCTATATGGTTCCAGGCTTTTTCACACTACTTCTTAACACACTGCCCCAAAACATGTTTGTCACAGTAATATTTCTCCAAATAATTATGCTGTTCCAGTGTTTCTCAAAATTTTCATCCTTAGGAAAGTAATACATTTGCATACGTTGGAATAAAGACTTCGTTGTCATAGCTAAGCCAATTGTTTTTTCCATCTGACAGTTCGGTGGTGACTGATTCTGCTTCCTTCTATAGAAATTAGAAAGACTGGTATGAGGTCACAGTAATGAGCCCTTTAGGAATACCACATCCTAAGTGTATCAACAAGTTAATCAGTGGATTCTGATCCACCATTACAGCATACAAGAATTCAACATTCTGATTATAACTCAATAAAAAATGTCAAAAAAAAATTCAACATTCCAATTTGGTATTCAGAAGAGAAAAAAATGAAAGTAAGTTAAATAAAATTGGCACATTTAATTAGAGATTACTTACTCAGAAGTTGGAAGAGCACTTGTTAATTGAAGGAAAAAAAAGACACTAACTATGCCTCCAATACAATTACATGGAGATAAAGAAAAAAATAGTTAACTAACTTCAGTTTGTAACATTAATATTTATAAATGATGGTTCACTGGGATAATTACTAACATTTAACTGAACTAAACTGTGATCTTTATTACTTACGGCGAGTCTCTAATTGTATCTAAATATAAATTACACACATACATATTTTTTAAAAACACAATTCCGGCGGATGCTATGATGTTGCCCATAGGACATAAACCCTCACATGATAAGATGAGGAAAGCACAGGATGTAAGGGCCTAAGCAGAACCTTATGAAAAAGCCTTCTAAAAGCGATGGCCATTTACCTGTGGCACAACAAAAGGTCTCTCCTGGAGAGGAGCCGCCCTGGCCTTGTCCACTGTCCCCACCGACCCCCCAAGCCACAGCCCCCTGCAGGCACGCTCTGAGCAGACCTGCGACATTCAGTCTTCATTCTCTTTTTATCCCTCCAGGGAACGCAACTGACTTTAAAGTGGTAGACAGACTATTAATATTTTTCTAATATTTTTCTTCAATGAAATGGAAAAGCTTCTGGTTACATTACTTTCAAAGCAGCATTAACCCACATGTGGACTTTTTATAACATCACCAGTTTAGAAAGAGGATAGGCTTTAGTGGGTCATTAGCAAACGCGGCTGGCTAGCCAACACTGTCTTAGAGGAACACGCTCTGACCAGATAAAAAAGAAAGGAAAAACAAACAGCCACGCCTGCAAAGCCAGACCTATCCTTATTACTTACACAACACACGGCACAGAATCTCTCGTGATATACAGCAACAAAGCCAGCCAGGCCCTCAGATACACCAGCACCTGCACAAAGCAAATACTTAGAAACGGTCTGTCAGATATCTCAAAGGCTGGTGCTGGGAGTGAAGATGCCCATCTGGAAACAGACAACTCGTCAACCAACGTGTCACACATTTCCATGGTGACACAACTGTCAGAAACGGCGCTCACCAACCGGCCTCCGAGCGGACAAACGGAGCATTTCGGGTTATGACAGTGACACAAGCACGATGAAAATCCATTTTCCCTTTTGTTTAGGGCACAGGGGGGAGAATGCGGGACTTCAGGCTCCTTTCATCAGACCCACACTGGAGGCAGTTAGCAGAGCCGCCGTTACAAGCCAGAGCATCCCGGCAGCAGAGCCATGTGCCAACTTGATTAAGAGGAAGGCGAAGCAGACCGTCTTCCTCCCGCTTCTTCACGCCTGCTCACAATTTTTCTTTGCTTCCTGTTGATCTTGTCAGGTGGCTTATTAAAGTGCACGTAAAGAACAGTAGGCTGACGCCCCGTTTCAAAACTGCTCCCTCTTCTCTCTGTAAACAACTGCAGGCCGTGCTAGTCAACATAGATCAGGGGAACAAGCGATGCTGCGAGGATATTCGTAGCATTCCATCCCTCAGGTTACATCAGAGAGGGGCCGCACGGTTTCTGTGGCAGCTCGAGCATGCTGAAGACGCACTGTTTCCCACCAAATCTCTGCACCTCACTTTTGACGTAAACTATATCATATACACGTACACAGAAATTAAAGTTTTTAGAGCTAGGAGGGGGTCAATTGGTTGGACTTGCTTTAGATGGTAAGGAATCATACCATTTCCTGGATCCCGCCAACTCCTCGAGGGTCAGCAACTCACAGGTCCCTCTCCTATTCTCCCACGCTCTGCAGACAGACGATCTGCCACAAGGTTACATTTATAATAAATGGAACTGACTTTCAAATGAGTCCATTAGTTGGAGATGAGCGCTGGAGTGAGTTTTAAAGTGCCAGAATTATATAAAAGTTAACAATTTTCATAGAAGTACTCATCAGATGGGGAAGGAGGAAGAACGGCGAGAGTTCCAGAAATGGTTCTCTCTAAGGTAGGCAGGGACCTTGCAGCTGATTGCTTCCTAGAACGGTGAAATCTGCATCTACTTTGTCACCTCCTCACTCAGTCGTCTTCTGATCAATGGCATATGTACAATAATAAATCCCTTCTTTTCCAGGACTGGATTTCCAATTTCAAAACCTCTGTGCTAAGGTTCTCATATCAAAATAATCCAACATCTGGGAATCTTAACTGAATGCTCTGGATTGCTTTTTCACCCAGCATTTGCATGAAGATTCTGTGGTAGACTAATTTTATTATATGCTCAGGAAAATATGAGGGCTTGGGCCGGGAGGCATAAGAAGTACTTACAAAAATAAACAAACCAATTAAAAGATTAAATTATCCTGTCTTATAGTAGAAACGCATTCCCCTTGGGTTTCTCCCGTTGAGCATCCTGTCTCCGCAGTTAACTAAATTCAAGCCCCCAAATCCTGGTACAACTTTAAATCCTTGCCTCAGATCTTTCTTTCTTTACTTGGGGAGATCCTTTGAAGAGCTGAGTATTCCCGGTGGCTGAGTCTCTGGAGCTAGAATGCCCAGCCATACTGCCCTGGGCACGTTACTCTTCCTTTCTGTGCCTCAGTTTCTCCATTGGTAAAGTGGGAATATTTACAGCACCTCACCTCACACGTAGGGTCATATGAATTAATACGTGAAAACACCTGAAACAGTGCCTAGCCCATCATAAACGCTCAATAAGTGTTGGCTGCTGCTTTAGAAAATAGAAAAACTCTTGCTAGTTCTGGAGGGAACACTACCGCTAATGCACAAAGTCCATCAAGGTATTATAAAAACAGAAGAGCATACTGTAGCTATCAATAACTAGTTCAGCTGAAAACTGCGACTCCACTAGGTTAACAAGTAAGACAAGAGGCAGTGAGAAGGGGGAGTTACTGTCCGTGACAAGCCTTTAGTATTTTTAAGCTACGTACACGTAGCACTTAAATTAAAATGTACATAATTTTAAAAGAACAACAAATGGAAGAGAAGGAAGAGAAGTGGTCATTATCTGAGGGAAGCCAGGGTTACAACAAAACGATGCTCCTCTGTCTTCCTTTCCATCCTCACTCAAGTTACTGCCACTGGCCCAGCTCCTGGTCTCCGCCTTCCTCGAGGGCACAAGAGTGGATGGGTCTGGAGCAGGACAGGCAGAATGCCTGTTTTAGGGCAAGAAGGGTAGAGGCTGCTCTTTAAAAAAGCCACTTTGGAAGGAAAACCTTTTTCTGGAAGGATGAGGAGGCAGGATTCTGCGGTGCCACAAACCCAGGAGGGAGCGCTGGGTCAGCTGCCTTGGGAAACGCGGCTCTGGCTTGGCAGGACTCCACCTCTCCAGTTGTTCATGCCTCCATTCGTTTACTCATTCAACAAACATTCACTCAACGTCTGCCATGTCCAAGCCCTTGTCTTTCTCCGGGGCTCATCAGATGCTGTCTGGATGGACTAGATGCCTGTTTTTAAACAAAGTCTTTTTCTAAAAAAGAGAAAAGAACCCAGAC